TTCACAGACACAAAAAAAAAAATAAATAAAAAAACACATCATAGTAAAATTAATACCTTCTCAGCTTCGCATCGAAGCTAAAACTCAATACAAGTATTCAATTAATAATTCCTTAATATCCGATAAATAAACTACATATTTTTAAAATGTATGTATTACTGCCGAAGATGAGCAAGTTAATGAAAATAATTAAAATTTAAGTAGGAACATGTCGATAAGTTAACAGTTAAAAGTACCAAATAATAAATTTAACTATAGTTAAATTTGCTATAGCTAAGATAAAAATTAATTTGATAATGAAATAAAATTGAATTTTAAATAATAAAACATTTAAATTTTTCTTATTTTCAGATATTATAGTATTCAATGTCATATAATTTGCTAAAAAAAAATTATTTTATTCCACCTTTTTCCCTTGTTATAATAATAGCACTTAATTTATTTTTAAATAAATACATATATGTTTAATTTGTTCAAAAATAAGAAAAATGAATGGTAACTTTTGAACCAGTATTTTGGAAGTTATTAACTCTTAAATATAATGAATCGAAGTGAAGCACTTATCTGCTTATTTTAAACTCTAGGTAATGAACCGCACCACTCTTTTCGCTATGTTTTAAGAATTCAAATATTATTTAAAATACTTAGTTAGATAATTTTCTTATTTTATGTTTTTTAAATATTATTTAAGTAAAATATATTAACATTGAAAAATGCGATGTTATACTGTTTTAGATGTATAATATAGGTCTATCTATACATAAGAAAAAATACTTAATAATTATAATAAACTGATTTATTTCATAGTTTCTCTAATATTCTTTGATAGTCTACAGTGAATTTTTTTGATATTATTGATAATGGAAATATGTAGATACTATTACTTACCTTTTATTCATTTAGAGAATATTTTTTTTCTTATAATTCAAGTGTCTTGTTATTTCCGATGTATGTTATTAACCTACCTATTTATAGTAATAATGGTTAATTATTATAATAAAATCAATTTATTCTATAGTTACTCGAATTTCCTTTATATTATTATTACTATTTGTTAGCCTGTGATAAAATATTAAATATTTATATTAATGAAAATATAAAGATACTATTACTTACTTTTTTTACCCACATAGTTTATTTATATTCTTAAGTATTCTACTTTTATTTAATTTTAGTGTAATAATTAATAAAACAATAAGAATTATATATTTCAGTTGCAATAATTGCTAACTTAAGATAATCACTTTTTCTAAGATTATTATTTCCTTATACACGCCCATATTATGTGCACACTTAGATGCGTGTAATAGCCAGTCGCTGCACTAACCGTTTATATCGTCCCAATATATGTATTATTTTTGTTTATTTGTAACAGATAAAACGTTAATCCGCTGCTAAACTTTTTTTTTTTTAGCTCAGTTGCCGTCCGTTAAATAACTGTATTATTATATTTTATATTTATATCCTTAATTTGTTTTCAAATTTCCGTTAATGTTTTTGTGTAATCTCGTGTGTATGTGACAGTTTTTATACGTTAAAATGTCCTCAGAAGTGATTAAATCTACGTTGGATATCATTTTAAATAACAATTTGTATAATGCTTCATCAAAGGTACTTGTACATCGACTTTAATGTTATACATATATTCATCAATGATTACCATTTCATCACCCATTTTAAATTCTCCGTCGTCAGTAGCGGTTACACTGTAGACTGCATTAAAGTTTGATTGTTGTTGATGTTATATCTAAGTAATATATATTATTTGTTATCAAAATTACTTCACTGATTAGCTACACTCATATCATTGTATGAGAATATTAGTATAATAAAGGAGACCCTTAAAAATGTATTTTATATGTTATTAAAGTAACATTACGATAAACACTATCATACAACTATGACTGTTTTACTAATAAGTGGGGAGCAGGTTTCAGTTTTTGTGATGTTGGAGATATGCTTACATAGGTGTCCGGTATTCCAAGATAAAATTATTAGAAATGATAGATGTACTTTTAATGTGGATGTATGCTTACCTAAACGTCTGATAATTGATGATTAAATTCTTAGAAAATGATCTCTATTATTCTCATAAAAATATTTATCATAATTTCACTTTATCATCTCATTTTAGCGCCATATATGGGGACTATATTAGCCACAGGCCTTCCCAACCCACAGAGCGGTATGTGCCCTTGATAGTCACCCAAAGATTTCCCATTTTCACCTTACTAATACCTTTTTCCAGTCTCCAGCATTATCTATCAGAATGTTGCCGATATTCAACTTCACTGTCCTGTATATCTTTTTTTTTAGATTTTCATGGAACTTGTGAGATTCTTCTTTCATTAAAGTTGTTTTAAAATAAGTAAATCTTTATACTTTATATTTTATATTATTGTTCCTCTTGTGGAAGTTTAACATGTCTTCCTTTTTTGTTTATTCTATTTTGGAATAATCACAGTGCTAGCGTAGACTTCACAATAGTTATCTTATAGAAAATAAGTTCACGAGACAATTTGAAATTTAATTACTCTTGTTTTGTGGTTAAATTATTTTGAATAGTGTACTTAAAAGTGTATTGTCAATTTAAAAAAAATAAAAAAAATGATTCCTTTTTTAAAATCAAATACAGTGAAAGAAGAAAGTTTCATTTGACCGGTTGACAAAATATCTGGCCAGTCATCTGTTTAAATATTAAATTATGTTTTAAAAATGTTACGATTCATATAAAATTTTGAGTGCAATTTTTTTTATGTTTGAAGTCTCAGGTAAAATTATTTTATTTTTATTGAGTTTTTTTATGAATAGTGAGTTTTGTGACCTTTCATTTATTTTATGAAATCGGTTACATTATTAAAAATTTCATTTGAAAAATTTCTTGGGCTATTTTTATTACCTTTTTATTAATTGGAATTTTTCCTACGTTTGATAATCCAAACCAGAGATATTGTATTAGTTTTCCTAAAAAAGCAAACAAGGTTTTTACAAATGTTTTTATGAAAATTGAAGTATCTTTTGATTTTCATTACAAAAACACACGAGGCAGTCATGACTTGCCAAATTGTACTGAGTATTATTAACACTAAGTCGACTGCACCATGACATAACAGGTTATACTGCAATAAGTCCATAAAGGTACTCACCTTGATTATTATAGTTCTATAGATTGTTGAAAATGTTTATGATAAGCTTCTTGTCTTCAATAGAAACAACGATAACATATTAATAAAAATATTATCAAAAATATATACCGTCACATGATAACCACTTTAAAATATCGTTGTACCACCTTTAAAGTATTAAGATAAAGGTATAGATATTTTCTATCCCAACTAAAATATAATGTTCAACGACACGTCAGAAGTTAAACAAGAATTTTACGTTCATCGTGAGTGAGAGGATATCCAAAAATTTTTGGTTTATTCTATTAGGGTATTTTTATTAATTTTAAACTATGATATAACTTCACTTTTGACATATATATGATTATTTTAATATTTTACGCACTAAAATTTTAAGACTACTTTAATTTAAAAATAAACAATAAAATAATTTTCAGATAATATTTAACAGTTCCAAAGCTCTTGAAAAAGATGAAATATACAATTTTCTTTTAGATTTTATAGGAGAAGGATTGGTTACAGCTCCCGGTTAGTAAAATATAAATTATTGTTATAATAAATTATCTATAGTTAAACTAAAAATTCAATTATAATATTCACATTTAACAAAATTAAAGTACATTAATTTTCATTTTATATTTTTCTCAGAACTAAAATTCAAAGAATTTAAGTTCCGAGATTTTTTTTATAATTCTAGATTATCACTAATTATTTGATAACTAGATAAATTAATTGAAATAGTATTGTGCAAGATAACATTTTTACTTAAACATAGATATTTCATAATTTATAATAAACTTAAAATGTCAATTATTGTTTTTAGTTTACAAATGGAAACAACATCGAAAAATAATTTCTCCTGCTTTTAATACTTCTTTCGTAAATCAACTTTTATCGATTTTTAATGAGAAAACATCAATCTTAATAAGAAATCTTCAAAAAGAACTAGGAAAAACTGAAACATTTGATATTTCGGATTATATAATTTCTATTTCAGTTGAAACTATAAGTGGTAAATGAGATTCTTACCCTCGTAACAATAAAATATTTTGAATAACAAAGAATATAATATTTAAAATGATCGAATTTTTTCAAAAAATTTTCACAACATTCATAAAAGTTAGAAGACATAGTAACTTTTTGGAAGAAATACTACTGTATTAACAGTATGACCTGCCAATATTGAGGATATATATTTTACATTATTTTATTGAAATGTTTCTAGGACAATGTAAAAAAAAAAATTCTGCTATGTATTCAAAAAGTATTTTATATTTATTTGTAATGACTAATAAATTTAAATGATATTGAATGTTTGGATAGTTTTATAAAAAATTATCTATATTTTTTTTTAGAAATATTTTATCAGAAAAGTTTTATAATTTGATTTTAATACTTAAGTCTTATACCCAATTTTTTTCATAGAAACTGCAATGGGATATAGTTGTGATACACAAAGTGATAGTAAATATGTCTTTAGTAAAGCAATAGAAGAGTAAGTAATAAAAAAATCATATGGTACTATTTTTATATTTATAGATGATAATCTGGTATATTAGTTTGGGCTAAATATCGATTTTTTTCAGTAATTTTATATGCCTGTAATAGCTTATCGATTTATATTTATTAACTGAAATTTATTTCAGTTTTTGATCATTTTAAAATTTAAGTTAGTAATAATAGTTATTAATTTAAATTAAAATAGAAATTATAATTTTACCTGTTGACTAATATGACCGGCTTATCGCATGTCAAGCGCTCAGTCGTTTTTTTAATTGGCTATTTATCCAATAAATATTATATTATGAATACTTATATACTTTACTCTGGTTATGTCTAATCAGACACCAGTGGTGAGTAGTCATTATACCTTTCAAAATCGACCTTAATCGCTTTCGTTACAAATTTTCGGTTAAAAATCATTAAGCTTCTGGTAAGAAAACGTCAATTAATAATAAAGCGAATTACTTTCGATACAGTCTCTAATTCCAATTTTTTTTTTTAATCTCGCCTTTCCACTATGAAAATGGATTAAACACTTCATTTCCAAGCTCTTTTTCATTAGATTAGGTATTATTAGCTATACGACTATTATGTTTCTCCATGCCCGGATAAAGCAACCTCTCCATCCTCATGTATCCTCTGGAAATTGAATCATTCCTCCACTGATTACTTCTGCGTCAAATGGACAAATCATAAGAATATAAAATAAATTATGGTCCCCAACAACGTATTCTATTCTAAAGCTGCTAAAATTAAACGCTCTGGTATTAGCAGCCCTGCTTATTTTTTGTTGCTAATATTGTAAATAAAATAGTATTGTTAACGATACTACTAATATTATACAATATGTTCAGTCAAATAGGTCTCATCCTTCTGATCTATTTGTAATACAAGTATATATGCCTACGTTAAGAGCTGATGACGAAGAAATTGAAGAATTTTATGCTGGAATAGAAGAACTACTAAAACTCACTAAAGGAAAAGATAACATTATTATAATGGAGACTGGAATGCTGTTGTAGGTGAAGGAAAAGACGGTAGAGAAGTGGGAAAATATGGTCTAGGTCAAAGAAATGCAAGAGGGGATCGATTAGTGGAATTTAGCAGAGAAAACAGTTCGTGATAACGAATACACTATTCAAAGAATACAAGAAAAGAATATACACATGAAAAATACGGCGATACAGGAAGATATCAGATTGATTATATACTAGAAAGGAATCGGTTNTATAATGGAGACTGGAATGCTGTTGTAGGCGAAGGAAAAGACGGTAGAGAAGTGGGAAAATATGGTCTAGGTCAAAGAAATGCAAGAGGAGATCGATTAGTGGAATTTAGCAGAGAAAACAGTTCGTGATAACGAATACACTATTCAAAGAATACAAGAAAAGAATATATACATGAAAAATACGGCGATACAGGAAGATATCAGATTGATTATATACTAGAAAGGAATCGGTTTCAAAATCAAGTCAAATCTTGCAAAACTCGTGACAATAATATTAAAGACAAAAATGGTAAATTGCTCTTGAACACAAGAGAGGTGGTAAACCGATAGAGAGAGTACCTTGAAGAACTATATCAAGGGGAGGAGTTAAAAGATATCAATGAAGAAACTGATGAGTGCTCTTATGGCGCATCGTTACTAAAAAATGAATTTAATGCCATTTTTAGAGATTTGAAAAAAAAAAAGCCCTGGAAACAGATGAAATCCCCAGAAAACTACTACAAAACGCAAGTGAAAGCATAGTAGACGCGATGTACTATTTTATGAACGATATATACGAAACAGGAGTAATACTGAAGGACTTTTACAATAGCAGGATTGTAAAATTACTAAAAAAGAATAAAGCTGTCTCTTGCGCAGATTTTAGAACTGTAAGCTTACTCCCTCACTCCACAAAGATACTCATAAAAATTATATATCGAAGGATAATTAATAAAGCCAACCGATATCTATTAAATGATCAGTATGGATTCAAAAAACAAAATGGAACTAGAGAGGCAATATTAGGACTTAGGATCTTAATAGAAAAATAAATATCTCGAAATAAAATAACATGCTTATCATTTTTAGATATCAAAAAAGCTTTCGACAACATAAATTGGAAAATTATGTTCTCAATAATGAAGGAATTCAATTTAGATTTTAAAGACAGCGTAATTATACGAGGGACGTCCAGAAAATAAGGTTACAACATGTGTTAAAACTTAAAATATGGATATATTTAAATGAAATTTACAAGATAGGTGTCAAAACATGTCATTATTTCTCTACATAATCGCCATTGAGATCAATACATTTTTGAAGCCTAAGGACCAGTTTTTGTATACCCTTGTCGTATACCTTCCGCTCCACCTGCCGAAGCCAATTTTCGACAGCATCCTGGACTTCCTCGTCAATTGATAATCGTTGTCCACCCAAGAACTCCTTCAATTTATTGAAAAGATAATAATCCGATGGTGCCAGGTCCGGGGAGTAGGGTGGGTGAGTCACAATATCCCACCCAAATGAAACGAGCAGGTCCTGAGTGAGACGGGCNCTGAGTGAGACGGGCGGTATGAGGCCTAGCGTTGTCACGAAGGAGTGACACACCATGAGTTAACATTCCTCTCCATTTGTCCTTGATTCTTTTTTTTAACTTCTTGANCGGTATGAGGTCTAGCGTTGTCACGAAGGAGTGACACACCATGAGTTAACATTCCTCTCCATTTGTCCTTGATTCTTTTTTTTAACTTCTTGAGTGTCTCACAGTATGCAGCTGCATTTATGGTAGTTCCTTTAGGCATAAAATCGACCAATAATAACCCTTTCCGGTCCCAAAAAACAGATGCCATGATCTTCCTCTCTGAAAATTGAACTTTGAATTTTTTGATTGATGGTGAATGTGTATGTCGCCACTGTTGAGATTGCCTTTTTGACTCGGGAGTATAGTGACACACCCATGTTTCGTCACCAGTCACAATTGAGTCAAGAAATGTTTCATTCTCGCTTTCATACCGTTCAAGAAACTGGCGTGCAGCCAAAACACGATTTTGACGATGTTCTGAAGTCAACATTTTTGGCACCCACCTTGCACACAACTTCCTATAACCAAGTTTTTCTGTTATAATTTCACCCAGGAGTCTTCGTGAGATATGTGGGAAACTTTCACTAAGGGCATCAAGAGTTACACGACGATCATCGCAAACTTTTTCTTCAACCTGCTGTAGAAGCCCATCTGAAATTACGGATGGTCTTCCACACCTTTCTTCGTCGTGAGTGTCAGTACGGCCTTCTTTAAATAATGTAACGCACTTTGTAACTTGCTGACGTGTCATCACCTCGCATCCATAGGTTTCCACAAGCTGGCGATAAATACTGGCCGCGGATTCGTTACGCAAAGTAAGGAACCTAATAACAGAGCGTATCTCACACCTACGGTAGGTGGAGCGATTGGACGACGAACTGTTTGACGTGTTTGGCTGCTGTGACGACATTTCGTAACGGACTGAGGCGTTTGATGATTTGTTTTGATCGATAGAAAATTCTCTACATGACAGGGGTGACAACTTTGAAAAACAAAATGCCCTACGTCCTACACAGGCCTTGTAACCTCACTTTCTGGACGTCCCTCGTATATAACCTCTACAAAAATCAAAGTGCAGAAATTACAATAAATCATGAGTCAGCTAGTACGAAAATATGTAGAGGTGTAAGATGAGGGTGCCCACTTTCACCATTATTATTCAACTGCTACATAGAAAAAAGCATAACCGATGTTAAAGATAAATTTAACGGACTTGGGATTGGAATCAAAGTGGGTGGTATATTGATTCCAATGATCCGGTTTGCAGACGACATCGTAATATTACCAGTAACAGAGCACGACCTTCAGAGAGCCCTGGCAATAATGCAAGTAATTTTAAATAAGTATCAAATGCGTATTAATTCAGGTAAAACAAAAATTTTAGTTTGTGCTCGTGAACCCACAAATAACACAATTATTTATTTAGAAAACCAACTTACTTCACAAGTTTCTAGTTTTAAAAACTTGAGAAGTTTAATAACATCAGACGGAAGAAGTTCTCAGGAAATTAAACAAAGAATAGGGTAAGCAAAGACAGCCTTTTTCAAGAAAAAGAAAATTTTAGTTTCTAAAAAAATTAGCAGAGCGATAAAGAAGACATTTTTAAAAATGTGTTGTATGAAGTATTGCTTTTCACGACTCAGACTGGGTCATAACCTTTTACAAGTATTCGCTTACAAATCAAACCCGAATTCTGTTCCCTTTTGCCTTTTACATGAGGATGAAGTCGTTGGAGACTGCCTCAACTATTTATTGAATTAATACTCCTTGGCTTCTAGTAGGTGCCTGCTTATAAAATNTACACGAGGATGAAGTCGTTGGAGACTGCCTCAACTATTTATTGAATTAATACTCCTTGGCTTCTAGTAGGTGCCTGCTTATAAAATGTTTAGTATCTAATGACATTTCAAATATTGTTCCCTTTGTTGTATTCAATTATCGATCTATTCCCGTAATTATTAGCATTATTTTATTTTATATTAATCGCTGGTTGCACTATTTAACTACCTTATTACACATTACAATTTATTGTACATACTTTACTTTTTTAACCCATCTATCAACTATTGTTACATGGTCGACTTATAATATTATAAAAGAAATTGAAAAAAGACTCAAGTCTCTATTTATTTACTTATTAATATAAATTTCTTTAGGGGTTCAAAAGTTATTTGTACGAGGATGTGTAAACCATGGCTGTATCCTAATTTTATTTTTAATATATATGCAAATATAACGGGCTGTCGTAAGATTTGCAAAAAATTTCATAAATTACCAGATCAAGTAAGTTTTTTAATACTTTTACACATTATTATTTTATTACATTATGCTATTTTTTTAAGAGTATAAATAAAGCTTTTAACTTCGATGCGAAGCTGAGAAGGTATTATTTTAACTATAATGTGTTTTAATTAATTAATTTTTTTTGTGTCTCTTACCGAACCGATTTTTTTCAACGATACGTCAAATGATCACAAATCGTATCCAGTCGAAGATATTACTTTCAAAAATTAAAAAAATTTCACTCGTTCCCCGTAAATGGGGGAAATCTCCAAAAAAATTGCAAATTTAAAAATTCCCTAATTGTTGACAATTTTTCAATTTTTTTACTTAAAACTGCCATAACATTTTTTAAAATGACCAAATCAATATAATTTTTATTTTTATAGATTTATGATGTATTTACTTATCATTTGGTACACTTTTTTATAAATTTGACCCTTAACCTGCCCACATGGGATATTTAAAACTTTTTCACAAAAAATTAACTTTTCTAACTTTACTTTTGAAAGTGTTCTTGAAAATTTCACACGATCTCCTATTTCCTTATTTATATTATATATGATTACAAGTTTTATGATTTATAAGTGTAATATATGAATAAATATTTAATATATAAAATTAAATATAATTGAAAATTGATATTTAATAATTTTTACAGAGAAATTATAAAAAATTATAAAGTAGTTATTACTTTTATGGCAAACGTATATAAAATTTAAAAATCATTATACAATACTTAAAAAAAAATTGTTTATCTCCAAAAAAATTACATTTATAAAAATCGCTAATTTTCGAAAATTTTTTCACTTAAAACTGCCATAACTTTTTCAGAAATAAACAAATCAATATAACTTTTTTTATAGATGCATAATGTCTTTAGGTATCATTTGGTATATTTTTTTTATAATTCTGACCCTTTACCTGCCCACAGGGGGGATTCAATATGACAACTATTTTAACTTAACCTTTGAAAGTGTTCCTGAAAGTCTGATGTTTTTATATATATCTTAAATGAATGATAATATAATATACTTTATCATGGAAAAAACAATTTCGGACTTTATTTTGTCTTCACCGTGAAAATAGTTTCCGAATGCTATTTTTGTATGAAAATTCTCAATTTTATATTTTTAACTTTATAATGCTATAACTTATTGAAAAGTGTATGATTCAATACAATTTTTTTATGAGAAATAATATTTATATCCAGCTTTTCCATTCGAAATAATTTTTTTTATAAAATAACACCATTTTCATTTATTTATTCATATATTACACTTATAAATCATAAAAGCTTTAATCAGGATTTAAATAAGGATATTGGAGATCATGTAGATTTTAGAAAAATTTACCAATTTTTTAAAATTAAACTTTATCTACATATTAGCATCAAAGCGTTTTTTATGATAGTGATTTTAATCACTCTCAGATATCATTATAATTCACCAAACTATGTCACTTCCCCNTCTCAGATATCATTATAATTCACCAAACTATGTCACTTCCCCACTGTGCTGAGTTTTTTTAACTTAATTTAACATAATTGTGTGTCGTAATATAAAACTACTAAGGGTGGATGAATTGAGTATACGAAGATGATGATAAGTCTGCTTAGATATTCACGTACAGAAATCATTGTGCTCGCCTGACACTCCAGATTGGCTGTAAGTGTTGAAAGGCCGTTTTTATAGGAAGAGAATAAGGGAAACACCTAGGTATGAGGTGCAGACGAAGTGTAAGGCACAATTACTCTGAAATTGTAGAGGGTAAAAGTAGGTAAGAGTAAAGAGCGTCAAAAATAATGAACAAAGACTTGACTTTATACAGTAAGCCGGACAGCAATAACCGAGTAGTGGGACTGATGAATTACACAAAGCATAAGTTGCTTTGTGATGCCAATCACAAAAATTTTTGAAGTTAGTATAAATGAAGAGTTGAGAACATTATTTGGAAAAACAAAATGTTGAAAAAATAAGTGCATTACATTTATTTTTAATGTAGACAAATATGCATATATTATTAAGTATATATGATATCGTTATATTGAATTAACTTTGGAGTCAACAACAACTTCTAATAATTAAAAGTTCATTCTTCAAAACCTCTTATAGATGATTTGTTTAACGTTTGTAATAGACACATCCGTTTGATATACACAAAATAATTACATTTTATTTTATCTCGTTGTGTTCTCTTATATGTAAAAGTATAGGTATACCATTTTAGACTATAAAATATGTTGAACATATTTAGTGTATTTTTATATTCGCATTTTGCATACTGTAAATATACTTTTATGTATATAGCTCCGTATATACTCCGCTGAAGCAACGCCATTCTACGTTTGCTTTATTTCAGAGCCAACGACAGGTGCTTTCTCAAATCATGACTTCAGATCATCTTTATTATTGTACATATTGTGATGGTGTCACGTTACCATTATTGTGAGAATTTATTATAATAAAATACAGTCAGTACATCCGCTTCTAGAGACTGATGAAATAACAATTAAATATTATCGCTAAATTGTCAATAGTCCAAATTATTATAAAAACCCAAAAGATCTGGCTATCTTGGTCAGTCGACTCCAGTGCCTTATGTCATTCATCAGTCTCAGTACTCGGTTGTCACTGTCCGGCTTACTGCATAAAGTCAAGTCTTTGTTTTTCCATTTTCACCTACCTACTCCCGTCCTCAACATTTCAGAGTACTTGTGTCTTGCACTTCGTCTGCATCTCGTACTTCATTATCCTCTCCTAATAACTAAAGTACTTGTTTTTCGCACTTCGACTGTACCTCATACTCGGCTACCCCTGTTCTTTATTCTCACCTATACCCAAAGTATTTGTGTCTTGCACTTCGTCTGCACCTCATACCTAGGTGTTNGTCTTGCACTTCGTCTGCACCTCATACCTAGGTGTTACCCTAATTTCCTTCCTATAACAACAGCCTATCGAAATTGTGTTGATCCATCCATTTTTCAAAAAGATATAGCAATATAAAATTAAAAATATAAAAAATATTTTTTTTAGAAAAATCGNTTACCCTAATTTCCTTCCTATAACAACAGCCTATCGAAATTGTGTTGATCCATCCATTTTTCAAAAAGATATAGCAATATAAAGTTAAAAATATAAAAAATATTTTTTTTATTAACTTTGATGTCTGTTTTCACAGTGAAAAAGTTAATTTTTTGTGAAAAAGTTTTCAATCCCCCAAGTGGGCAGGTTAAAGGTCAAATTTATAAAAAAAGTATACCAAATGATAAGTTCTTTACTTATCATTTGGTATACCATCATAGATCTATAAAAATAAAAATTATATTGATTTGGTCATTTTTAAAAATGTTATGGCAATTTTAAGTAAAAAAATTGAAAAATTGTCAAAATTTTTTTGGAGATTTCCCCCATTTATGCGAAAAGAGGAAAATTTTTAAAATTTTTGAGGGTAATGTCTTCGACTAGATACGATTTGACGTATCGTTGAAAGAAATCGGTTTGGTGAGAGCTGAGAAAAAGTGGTAACAGACACAAAAAAATAAAAATAAATAAAACACATCATAGTAAAACCAATACCTTCTCAGCTTCGCATCAAAGTTAAAATTAATAAATAATAAAAATACATAGAAAATGTATGAAAAATATAGTTCTGAATTTGGTTAATTTCCAACAACATGCCTGACGCTTGACCCAGTGTTCCGATGATAACACCTCGGCTAGCCTTTAGAGGTAGGATAAACAAATCAACTAAATCCAGTACCGGAAGTTACGGAGAAAACTGTTAGCTAATGTTTATTATGAAGTGACAATACAGGTGGTGAATAGTGCAAAAACCACTTGTTTTTCATAAACCTATCCAAATTAGTTCATAGCTGACTATCTGACACACACACACACACACACACAAACAAATTAACATCATCTTTCATAATTAATTAGATGATATACACGATCGCAACAAATTCAATAATTTATTCTAAAAATAAACAAAATTCATAGATTTGCATCAAAATGATATTTTATGATGGTAATTTTAATTAATCAGTGGGAACAACTAACATCTGTAGTTGTTCCCACTGATCTAGGTTTATTTTATAGTAGTATTGGGATAAGGTAATATGGCCGATATTGTTTGTCATTTATAAGTCGGAAGTTTTAAGGATTAAAATGATATTTTTTTTGTTATAATTCAGTATTTTTTAGCTTCGATGAGAAGCTGAGAAGGTATTAATTTTACTATGATGTGTTTTTTTATTTTTTTTTTTATTTTTTTATTTTTTTTTTTGTGTCTGTGAACGCTCAATCTCAGCTCTCGCTGGACCGATTTTGATGAACAATATGTCAAAAGATCACAAATCGTATCTAGTCGAAGACATTACCCTCAAAAATTGAAAAAAGTTTCCTGGTTCCCCGTAAACGAGGGAAATTCCCCCAAAAATTTCATATTTAAAAATCGCTAATTTTCGATATTTCTTCAATTTTTTTTACTTAAAAGTGCCATAACTTTTTTAAAAATGACCGAATCAATATAATTTTTTTTTTTATAGATACCTTAGATAATTACCTATCATTTTATATATTTTTGTGAACATTTGACCCTTTAACAGCCCAAAGGATGGGGTTTCAAAATGGTAACTTTTTTACAAAAAATTAACTTTTTCAACTTAACTTTTGAAAATGTTCCGGAAAGACTGACAATTTTATATATACCTTAAATTAAAGCTAATGTAATATACTTTAATTTGAAAAAAAAAAATTTGACCTCTGGACTTGTCTTCATGGTGAAAATGACTACCGTATGCAAAAATATGCTATTTTTGTGAAAAAATTCTTGATATTATATTTTACATTTTTTAACATTATGTTGCTATAACTTTTTAAAAAATGCATGAATCAACTTTATTCTTTAATGATAAATACTTTATATATACTTCTTTCATTCGACATACTTTTTTTTAAAATCGGACCATTTCCCTTTATACAGGGGGGGTGCAAACCTTT